TCATTAATGAATCTCAGTACCCTCATCAGTAAAATGAAACTGCTACTATTGACTACCTCATAGGGTTGTTGCTGAGGGTTAACTTGTGCATAAGACACAGCAAGCACTATATGTGTTGCCTATTATAATTACTATTCCATGTCTTGGTTTACATTTTCCATGATTATCAAAAGTAAACCAGTAACAAGAATATCAATTTCAGGCTTCTAAACTCTTCTCCTTCAGTTACATATATTCAGTATATAGGATTTTCTTAATGTAAACCTAAAATGAAATTTCAGCATCAGGGATAATCATTTAAGAAATATTATTATTAAATAGTGTTTCCTTGACATGTCAAAAAGTCATAAAAATGTAGTATGTTCCCACTTAACTTCATTTTTCATCAACTCTATTGATATACACACACATACCAGTAATATATATGCTATGAGGCAGAGCAGTTTTAGGTGCCCAGTTCAACAATTTGCAACTAAGGTCTATGGTTGGTATTACAAGATGTTAATGTCCCATATTCAAAGTTGAAAGAACTGTTGGCTACTGAAGTCAGCACTTCTGCATAGGAGTAGCCATTTTAGTAGAACTGTTCCATCACTGCTTCTACTACTGCTATCCAGCATTGTCATCCTCCCACTAAGGGGCCAAGAAGGACTAAGATGAAAAAGTGAACCCCTGCTTCTATTCCTTCTCACATCCTAACATCAGAGGAGTTACGCATCAAGAAGGGGTGGAGGGGAGTTTGTGAGAGCTAGACCACACCTCTTCTCCACTGCAAACCTAACCTGGAATGGGAACTGAGGTAGAAAGATAAATGGAGTTATAAATTGAATATGAGACTGAAATTTTTAAATAAATGGACCAAGTCTTAAGTAACTGAAAGATACTGTTTTAATTGCTAAAAATAATTGAAAAGAAAATGTAAAAAGGCTGAGTTGTGCTCAAAGAATCCTGTCACCAAGTGGGAAAATGAGGTTGATATAACAGGACAGCTTATGATAAAAAACTATTTCATGTTTATATTACAGTAAGTTGAGAGTCTACACTACTAAAAATTTATCTATATTTATTACAATCTAGTGAAGTGAGTACTTTTAAAGATTATACATTATGAGTTATAGTCATGCCCCTAAACAAGAGCTATACTTAAAGTTCAAACAATTTTTTTAAATCAAAGCATAATGTACCCTTTAATCAGGAACAAGCATTGTATTTTAAGATGTTTCCTTTGTAATTGTTATTAACTAGATCAATGGTGTGATAATGTCCTTAATATGTCTAAGTCTCAACTATGGTTTTCCTGAGGGGGCTATAATGGCGGAGCCAGCAAGCACTAAAAGCTGGTAGGAGCAAAAGCAGCTGCCTTGGAGAGGAGTAAAGGAAGGAGAGACACTAACAGTTCAGTAAGTGGTTTGTTTATAGAAAGCGTAAACTCAGAAACATTGACTAAAGTTTTTTTTGTTTTTTGTTTGTTTGTTTGAGATGGAATCTTACTCTGTTACTCAGGCTGGAGTGCAGTGGTGTGATCTTGGCTCATGGCAACTTCCACCTCCCCGGGTTCAAGCGATTCTCCTGCCTCAGCCTCCTGAGTAGCTGCGATTCCAGGAGTGTGCCACCATGCCCAGCTAATTTTTGTTCTTGTTTTATTTTTGAGATGGAGTCTCATTCTGTGGCCCAGGCTGGAGTACAGTGGGGCCATCTCACTGCAACCTTGCCTCCTGGGTTCAAGCAATTCTCCCACCTCAGCTTCCCTGGTAGCTGGGACTACAGGCACGCTTCACCACGCCTAGCTAATTTTTGTATTTTTAGCAGAGACAGGGTTTCACCACGTTGGCCAGGCTGGTCTCGAACTCCTGACCTCAGGTGATCCACCCGTCAGGGCTTGCCAAAGTGCTGGGATTACCAGCGTGAGGCACCACAACTGGCTGACATTTGACCAAAATTTTATCTGGTCTATCCTTAATCTGTTAATGGTAAAACTATCTTATCAGCATCATTACTGAACATGACTCCCTCCACCCCTTCTTGATGCATAACTCCTCTGATGTTGGGTTGTGAGAAGGAACAGAAACAAGGTTCTACTCTTTCATCCTAGTGGATGAAAGGAGGAGTAAGATCACTAACAACAAAGGGTTTCCTGGAATGCAGTCAATTTACATGTGTGAAAGTATCTGTAACAAGAAATACTCCTATAATACACAGGACTTTTTAATGAACTGAAGAAAGAATGATAGCAGGAAACTTAAGCAGCTATTAAGAAACTGAAATAAGAATAGTCTCAAGCAGAAGGAGCAGAAGAAATCCTTCAAACAGACTGACAGACACTCATTCTGAAGGACATGAACACAAAGAACAACCCTAGAGCCAAAATCCTCCTGATAAGCAGCTGCAAAGCACAGAATTCTCATTTTAAACAAAGGCTACCTGGAAACACATGAAGACTCATTTATTTTTTCTTGTGTATATACACATTGCCTCTCAAAAGTCGGCTAGTTTTCACTAATTCTGCTCCAAATGAAAAAGCTCTAGAACAGAGGATTTTGAAATCACCAAATTCAACCTCATTTACAAAGGAGAAAATATAGGCCCAAAGACACTAAGTAACTTGTCCAAATTCTTGCAGGAAGTTAATGCTAGGATGCACCTGCCCACATGACTGTGGTCATACTTTGACCTCACAAGGCCTCTCTAATGTGTCAGAGATTTGGGGGCACCGTGAATATTAAAGAATATGTAATGAATTCATAAGGCAGCTTCTACAGAAGCGGAATATGTATCACTTCTGAAGCGCCACTTTGAAGGAGGGTGTCAGATATAGCTGTGTGCTCCATATATATAAACACAAAGTACCTGCTGCCCAGTCTGGATTCTCCTCCTGGGCTCAAAGGATCTTCCTGCCCCAGCCTCCTGAGCAGAGTAGCTGGAACTACCGACAAGGGCCACCAAGATACACGTGTTTGGGCATATTTATTAAAACACTAACCATATTCCTTTTTAGTTAAGTTACCCCACATATTTCTGAATTCTCCATCCATCTCAAGGCTGGTCACATATCAACTGTTTTCAATTTCAGGCTACTGAAAACTCATTTAAAAAAATCCTTGATTCGAACACTTTAAAGTCCCTTTCCTATGCCTGGTCCCATTTTTAAGAGGATTCTGCCTTTGGTTACATTCTGCAGAGCAGAAACAAAAAGTATTCCCCTCCCCTTTTCATTTCTTAATTCCATAAACAGCAATTCTACAGATAAAAAATATTTTACGTAAAGTAAGGAAAATTTATTTAAAAGGGCTATGCTAAAATGAGATTTTAATATTTCTTCAAAGCTTAAATTACATACCTACACACATAGATCAATAGATGTCCTCCCTGTTTTACTGCTTTAAAACAATCTACAGGGCCCAGCATGGTGGCTCAGGCCTGTATTCTCAACACTTGGGAAGGCCCAGGCAGGAGGATCACTTGAGGCCGGGAGTTAAGACCAGCCTGGGCAACACAGCGAGACTCCATCTCTACAAAAATAAAGATAAAATTTAAAATAAAATAAAATGACTGGTAGGATGTGGAGTTATAAACAGATTTTACACTTTGTGCCTATCTTTATTTTGTAAACTCTCTAATGCTCATTTTTCATAACCCTCAAATATTAAAGCAATTAACAAAAATAAAATAAGACATGGCCAGGATGTCTGCTAACTGTTAAAGGAAGCCAAGGACACTGGAAATTACCCTGTGCCTTATGCTGAAACTGTTCAGCAGCACTTTCAAAAATTCTGTAAGTTATCAATATTATGTCGCTATAAATGACTGTTTTAAAGAATGGCACAAAGACACTGTGGTGAAAAAATTCAACCAACACAACACAAAATAAACAGGAACTGAGAAAGTTTCTAGGTTCTGCTACCACAAGACAACGTGCAGCCGTTCAAAAAGTACACGACGCAAAAAGTCAACTAGCTTCCCATGTTAATGAAGTGTTTCATTTTACAAAGAAGTATCTGGCTTTTTATGTTTCGTTTAGGAAGTGAATCCTAATAGCTGACAAATATCAAAGAAAGACTGACCCAAACCAAAACCAAAACAGGCACAACGCTCTTCAAGAATCCAAGACTGAAAACACCGACGTCATAACTGGTTCAGTCTTCACCTCCCAGTGGGAGGGAAAGAGAGAATGGATCGTACCCTTGAAATACTTGGCGGGGAAAGAAAATCAAGTCTAGGTGGGGAAAGCAGGAAGAGCAGAGCAGGAAGAGCTGGCACGCAGCTCAAAGTCTTCCCTCCCCAGAGCCGAAGGAGTCCTTCCTTCCTCGCCCCCTGCGGCCGCCACCCCAGCCACGTCGCCCGCCCGGTCCCAGGCACACCTGCCAGGGCCGGGCCGCGACCCCCGCCCGGCGCCACGACCACCGCCTCCCCCCAGCCCTCAGCCTAGGTCGTCCGCGCGGGAGGCGAAAGAAGGGTGGGCTCACCAGGTCCCTCCGGGCTAGACGGCGCCGGGGGCCGGTGGGGCGGGGACCCGCACCCGAGGTCCCCCTGGGCGGGCTCCCTCAGGTAATCCTCGAAGCGCACCTGCCGGGCTTCGCCGCCGCCCCCGAACCCCCACAGGCGGTTGGCCGTGCCCCGCAGAAGGCGTCCGCTCTTCTCGGTGAACGTGGTCAGGTAGTCCATGCTGCCGCGGGGCCGGACGCGGAACTGGGGCCCAGGAGGTCGACGGTTTCGGCGGTGGCGGCCACCACTAGCGCGCCCGCCGCCCCATCAGACCTGATCCAGGGGAGGTGGCTCCGCGCGCCTCACAGGAGGCGGAGAGGGGGAGGGGGCGTCCCTCTCTCTGCCCGGGGACAGACCATCGGGAAACCACGCGTCGGGGGAGCAAAAGACGGACAAAAGTTTCTGAAAAGTTTTTCTTGTGGCTTCCAAATGCCAAATGAGGCAGAACTTAGCTTGTCACATGGGTATATTCTTCCTGGAACCGAGGCGGGGTCGGAAAACTGGTGGCTTTTAAGCAAGCCGGACGGGTCCTCTCCGAGCATCCCCCCACCCGCCTGGCGCCAATGGAGCTGGCCTGCCCCGCCCTGCCCCTCCCCGCCCCGTCCGGGCTCCGACCGGACTTTCAGGACTGCAAGGGAACTGGGGTGGACACCCAGCCTCCCGCCAGGTCACAGGAGGCGATAAAAATGGCCCAGGGGAGACATTGCTGGAGTTGCATGGAGTTCGGGAGCCTAGGAAGGGTCTGCAAATAACAGTCAAAAAGTTTGAAGGGTGTGCGTGTTGGCTTGGGGAAAAAAGAGGGTGGAGTGTATCACATAAAACTTGCAGCTTGTATTTACTTTTTTCTTTTTTTTTAGGACGGCGGAGATACTTTCAACGTAAGATTGCAGTCATAATTACAACATGAATAGTAACAGTTTAAGTTCGTTGTACTAGTATGAACTCATGTTAGTGTTCGACATTCTATGATCCCAGTCCTGTTTAAGCAATGTAATTGAAGACTTTAGTTTGCAGATCTACCTTTCAGGGACAAAGAACCTAGACAGGGAAAGAGCAGTAACTTTTGACAGAAATTTAATACCCCATTTTGCTTCCTGTGAGATCTGGTTATTCTCTTCCTTTCACATCTGTTCGTAGCTCTTGTAGTTTTCCCAGGCATTAAATAAGTAAACCCTCTTTCTTGGAATCACCAATATATTACTATACTGGGGGAAAAAAAAGATTTGAATTACTTAGGAAGCTGATGAACTACCCACTCCAACAATAGAGTCCTGAAAATCAGTCTTAAGCTTTTGGCCAAACTACTGAAGATTATCCCTCCTGACACACACACACCCTCTTTTTGTTGTTGTTGTTGTTGTTGTTGTCGTTGTTTTAACCAGTTGACAGATCTTTTTTGCATCATCACCATTTTCAGTTTAAATTCTTACTAGGTTGGATAAATGTCACCATTCTAATATCAGCCATCATCATTATACCTGGTGAAAAATACAGCATGTCTGGGCTGCACCCTCACAGTGTCTAATTCGGTGTTTATGGGAAAGGGGCCCAGGAGAATCTGCATATCCAGCAATCCATGTTTTCAGGGTTGTGGCTTGGGAAAGAACTGTTACAGACTTCTACTCTACCTAAGGACCTATTTTGTAGCTGTTGCAATGGATGGAATGTTTGTGCTTTCCCTCAAATTCATTTGTTAAAATCCTAACCCCAGTGTGATGGTATTAGGAGGTGGGGCCTTTGGGAGGTAATTCTTGAGCATAGAGGCCTCATGAATGCGATTAAGTGCCCTTATAAAAAAGGGACCCAGAGAGCTGTCTCCATCTTTCTGCCACATGAGGATACAAAAACACAGCAGTTTGCAAACCAGAAGAAGGTCCTCACCAGAAACTAACCATGCTTGGACCTCTAGCCTCCAGAACTGTGAGAAATAAATGTGTGTTTATAAACCAGTCAGTCAGTCTGTGGTGCTTTATTATAGCATCCAGAACGAGCTAAGACAGCTACTAAGTAGCATTCCATTTGACAAGGAAGCCTTACCATGCACACTACTTCTGAGTTCAATGAAAGAGAGGCTCGGTAAGTTTTAAAAATCAAATTTCAATGAATTAGTCTAATTCTCATTAACAATTTAAATTATTTTTCTAAGATATGTTTTATATCTTCTAAAAATTTACCGGTTTGTTATAAGCATATCCAATTAATGCTTGAGATTTTACCTGATTAGATCTGCACTTTTACGTCCAACATTTGCAGGAACCTTCATTCTACCAGTTCAAATCCAGATTTACAGGTAGTTAACCCATCTGGGTTTTTTTTGTTTTGTTTTGTTTTTGTTTTTGTTTTTTTTCTGCTTCTATTTTATAGAAGGCTAGAGCTGGTGGAGAAAAATGTGTAACCTTGGTGACTGAATGCCTTACAATCTTTGATTTAAACTCGGCTGGTCGTAATGTCTCTAAACTCCTTTTATTCATATAGTCAGTGTTCTCTTTCATTCTCTATATTTGTTGTCCGAACTGTCATCATTCTCCTGAAGTTACCAAACTCATCACTTGAACATGCTACTTTGCCTTCTACATGACCCAGAAAATCATAGGCCATGAAATATGAACATTCATTTTTCTTTCCTTTTTCTCTTCAATCTACATCAAGTTGCTCTCCCTACCTTGTCTTAGAAGGAGGTCTTTATTCCTGTCCATGCCTTTCTTCCGAAAGTCTAATTATGTTGTCTGTGGCTTGCCAGCTTTATTATTCTTCTCTGTTGCTTTTCACTATATGTCCTTTCCTCTTATCCTTCCATCAGCCACATAAATCACTCTCAGCCTTAAAAAAGGCTTGCTTATATACCATGCCTGCTTTTTCAAGCTACCTTTTGCCTCATTAAAAAAAAACCAAACCTTTATTGATGTGTAATTTAAGTACTGTAAAATTCACCTGTTAAAATTATACAGTTCACCTGATAACAATTCAGGGTTATAAAGCTATCATCAAAATGTAATCTTTGAACCTGAACATTTCCATCACCACAAAAACTTTTTACCAATCTGTAGTCACTCCCCAGTCACACTTGCAGCCCTAGGCAACCACTAGTCTATTTCTGCCTCAGTGGATTTGCCTTTTATAGACATTTCATACAATACTTGGTCTTTGGGGTCTGGTTTCTTTCACTTGTTTTGAGGCTTCTTCGTGTTGTAACATGTATTAGTACTTCATTCCTTTTTACTGCCAAATAACATTACATTGTATAAGATATACCACATTTTATCGATCCATTCATCCATTGATGGATATTTGGATTGTTCATACCTTGAGGCTATTATGAATAATGTTGTTAGGAACATCTATGTAATTAAGTTTTTTTGTTGACCTGTTTTCATTTCACATATATACATACAAGTGAAACTGCTGGGTCAAAATGGTGGCTTTCAGTGGGCAAAAAGGTTTAATTTTGATGAAGTCCAAATTATCAATATTTTTATCAGGTCTGTGCTTTGCATTGTATCTAAGAAATCTTTTGACTAATCCAAAGTATGAAGATTAACTATTATGTTTTTTCTATGAGTTTTATTTTATTTAGCTCATTGATCTAATATAGGTCTAATATAGGTCTTTGATCTATTTGGGGTTAATTTTCAGGTTTCGTGTGAGGAAGTGGTCCAAATTCATTTTTTTATGTGTGGCTATCCAGTTGTTCCAGCACCATTTATTGAAAAGATGATTTTTCCCCCATTGTCTTTGCATCTTTATCAAAACTTAATTGACCTTAAATATAAGGTTTTATTTCTGGACTCTGAATTCTACTATTCCTAAACCCATGCCAATACCATGCTATCTTGATTACTGTAGCTTTCTAGTAAGTTTTGGAATTGGGAAGTGTGAGTCTTCCCATTTTGTTCTTCATTTTGAAGATTGTTTTGGCTATTTTGCATCCTTTTCATTCCATATGAATTTTAGGATTACTTTGTCAATTTCTTCAAAGAAAAAAGTCAGTTGTAATTTTGACAGGGATAGCATTAAATCGGTAGATCAGTATGGGAAGTATTGCTATATCGTCCATAAACAAAAGGATGTCTTTCCATTTAGGTAGCTCTTCAATTGCTTTCAGCAGTGTTTTGTGATTTTCATTGTATAAATCTTGTACTTTTTTGTGACATACATTAATACGTGTTTTTTTTTTTGTTGGTATTGTGAATAGATTTTTTTTAGATTGCCATTGCTAGTATACAGAAATAAAATCGATTTTTGAACACTGTTCTTGTATCTTACAACCTTGCTGGACTCACTAATAAATTCTACTCATTGTTAAATGGATTTATTAACATTTTCTCTATATAAGTACATGTTTTCTGTAAATGAAGATGGTTTTGTTTTTTCCCTTCCAATTCAGGTGCCTTTTTTTTCTTGCCCAATTGCCCTGGTTAGAACTTTCAGTACAATATTAAATAGAAGTTGTGAGAGCAGATATCATTTTATTCCTGAATTTGGAGAAAACACATTGAGTCTTTCACAATTAAGTATGATATTATATGTTGGTTTTTTGTAGATGTCCTTACTGTAGTTTAGGAAGGACCATTCAATTCCTAATTTCTTTTATTTTTGTCATAAATGGACGTTAGATTTTGTCAAATGCTTTTTCTGCTTCTGTTGATACAATATTGTGCTTTTTGTTCTTTATCCTGTTAATATAGTGTTTACATTAATTAATATTTGTATATTAAATGAACCTTGCCTTCCTTAGATAACCTTCAGAATGTATAATACGATGCTTGATTTGGTTTGTTGGTAATCTGTTGATGATTTTTTGTCTATATTCATAATAGATATTATATTGTTTTATACTTTTCTTCCCTTGTGATATCCTTGTCTTGCTTTGGTATTTGGGTAATACTGGCCATCCTTTTCTAATTATTTGGAAGAGTTTCTGAAGGATTGTTACTAATCATTCTTTAAGTGTTTAATAGAATTCACCATTGAAGCCATCTGGCCCTAGGCTTTTCTTTCTGGTAATATTTTAAATTACTATAATCATTTACCTCATATGTATATGTGTGTGTGTGTGTGTGTGTGTGTGTGTGTGTATATATATATATATTAGATTTTCTATTTCTCCTTGTGTCAGTTTTGGTAGCTTTGTCTTTCTAGGAATTTGTCCATTTAATGTAAGTCATCTAATTTGTTGTTCATAGTATTCCTTTTAATCCTGTTCATTTCTCTGATTTATATTAATATCAGCTCTTTTACTCCTAATTTTAGTAATTTGAGTCATCTCTGTTTTTTTCTTGCTCATTCTAAATCTTTGTCAATTTTGTTGTTCCTTGCAGAGAGCCAACTTGAGGTTTCATTAATGAGGTTTCTCTAATGTTTTTCTATTTCATTAATACCCATGCTAATCTTTATAATTTCCTTCTTTCTATTTGTTTTGTGTTTAGTATCTTCTATTCCCACCTCCAACCTCCCTAGTTTCATAAGGCAGAAGGTTAGGCTATTGATTTGAAATCTTCTTTTTTTATAATATAGGTTTTTACAGCTACATGCCTCATTAGTTCTGTCCCACAAATTTTGTTATATTGTACTTTAGTTTTTATTTATCTCAGAGTAATTTTCCTTATGAATTATCATTTGACTCATTGGCTATTTAGGAGTATGTTGTTTAATTTCCACACATTTGTGAATTTTCCAAATTTCTTGTGTTTTTCTTTTTTTTTTTTTTTTTTTTTTTTTTTTTGAGGCGGAGTGTAGCTCTGTCGCCCAGGCTGGAGTGCAGTGGCCGGATCTCAGCTCACTGCAAGCTCCGCCTCCCGGGTTCACGCCATTCTCCGGCCTCAGCCTCCCGAGTAGCTGGGACTACAGGCGCCCGCCACCTCGCCCGGCTGGTTTTTTGTATTTTTTAGTAGAGACGGGGTTTCACCGTGTGAACCAGGATGGTCTCGATCTCCTGACCTCGTGATCCGCCCGTCTCGGCCTCCCAAAGTGCTGGGATTACAGGCTTGAGCCACCGCGCCCGGCCCTTTCTTGTGTTTTTCTGACTTCTAACTTAATTTTACTGTAGTTCGAGAACATACTTGGTATGATTCCCCCATCCTTTCAAAATCATTGAGTCTTTTTAATGGCCTAGTTTATAGTCTATCCTGGATAATATTCCATTTTCCCTCATTTTTAAGCCTTCCATTCATCACTGAATTTCTTGAAAATCCATATTTGCTGCCTCTCTTAAGCTCCTACCCAAGCTCACTATCAGCAAATTCTCATCCATTCATTCAGCTTTAGTAAATGCCTACTCAGCACTAAGATAGAGAGTCCCTATTTCTATGGCACTTTCAAGCTGATGGTATACTCCCAAAGATCACCAGTGCCAGCACAAGATGTTTTTGTGTAATTAGAAAGAGATACCCCTGCAAATAGACACATTACAAAAAAGGCATCTCTAATCCAAAAATGAAATTAAGAAAATAATTCCATTTATAGTAGCATCAAAAAGACAAAAATACTTAGAAATAAATCTATCCAAGGAGGAGCAAGACATATACTGAAAAATACAAAACATAATTGAAAGAAGTTAAAGAAAATCTAAATAAATGGAAAGACATCCCATATACATGGACTAGAAAACTTAATATTGTTAAAATAGCAATTCAGAAATCAATATACAGATGTAATACATTCCCTATCAAAATTCCCCTGCTTTATTTACAGATATGGAAAATCCCATCCTCAAATTCATATAGAACTGCAAGGAGCCCCAAAGAGCCAAAACAATTTAAAAAGAAAAACAGAGTTGGGGGACTCATACTTCCCAATTTCAAAACTTTCTTCAAAGCTACAGTAATCAAAAACCATAGTACAGGTGTAAGAATACATGTACACATCAATAAAACAGAATTTAGGGTTCATAAGTAAACACATACATTTAGGGAAAACAAACCAATTTTCAAAAATGATGCCAAGGCCATTTAATGGGGAAAAATAGTGGCTTCAACAAATGGTGCAGTAACAACTCCATACTCACATACAAAAGAATGAGATTAGACCCTTACCTCACACCGTAGACAGAAATGAACTCAGAATGGATTAAAGACGTAAGTGTATGACTTAAAACTATTAAATTCCTAGAAGAAAACATAGGGTAAATCTTTGTGATCTTGAAATTGGCAGTGGACTCAGAGATTACATCAAAGGCATAAACAACAAAACTAATTTGCCTCATTACTAATATGAGGAATGCAAATACCTGCCAATAAATACCATTGTCTTCTATCAGGATGGTGAAGATCAAAAAGTTTAAAACCATTTTGGTAACAGCAGGTGGAAACTACCACTTTCATATATTACTAGTAGGGGAGCGAAGAATGGTACTACCATTTTGCAGGATCATCAAAGAG